ATTTCCAAAAGTATACAGAAGTAGAGAGAATAGTATAATGAATCCTCATACACCTATCTCCCATATTTAACAATTAACATTTTTTGCTCTCACCAGTCAATATTTTTTTTATCAAAGATACATAATATCTTTGGGGCTTGCCCGGGGTGGGAATGGCTGGGGCGGGGGAGGAGAGGGACAATTGGGGGAAAAAAGAAACATATATGAAACTTTAGGCAATAAATAAATAAATAATATCTATATTATTCTAACAGTGAAGATTAAATTCCAGTTACAATTCCATTCCTTCTTATATTTCCAACATTTATCTTTGATGTGTTGTCCGCTGACTTTTAATTGCTATTTGGTGGGAGACAAATTCTTATTCAATATATCTTTCCCATTACATGCTGTTTTTCTTTTTTTAATTATTATTGAAAGTATTACATATGTGCCCTCCCCCCCATTGTCCTTTCCCAACCTGTCCCTGCCCCCCAGCCCCAGCCTTCAACCCCCCATTGTCTATGTCCATTGGTTATGGCTTATATACATACATATTCTTTGGTTGATCTCTTATCCCCATGTCTCCTCTACCGCCTATCCTCTCCTGCCTTCCCTATGAGGTTTGAGGGACTGTTCAATGCTTCTATGTCTCTGGATGTAGTATTTTTGTTCATCAGTTTATTTTGTTCATTATATTCCACAAATGAGTGAAATGAGTGATACTTGTCCTTCTTTGACTCACCAGTAAATTTTTACAAAATTGTCACTTTTAGCAAAATTTTGCTGTATGTATTTTCCTACTTGCCTCACATCTTGTGGTTTTCTGAGATAATAATTTTTTGTGAAGCATATATACATCTACTAGTACATAATAGCTTCTTTTTTTTTTCCTCTGTGACTTTGAAAAATTCTGGTGTCCTTCTCCTCAGAATTAAGTATCTTTTGAAAGTCCAGTAGGACTATCTCCTTTAAACTCTCAACCCTCACCCCTACCTAATTATCCTAATCTCATTTTACTGAAACCAAGTCTGTCCTGGGATCCCTCAGTTACTTTTTTCTCAACAGTTACCTGTATTTTTTTGTTGTTGTCTTCTGTCTCAGATGAAATATTTTTTCATCTTCATAAGGCTAGTTTCTTTTTTTTTTTCTTGTTTAACCACTTATCAAGATTTATTTTAAAGCTATAATAATTAAGGCTAGTTTCTTATTTTTATCACAGATTTTAAGCACTGGTCCCTCCTCTTCGGTCTTCCTCCATTAAGTTTTTCTCACGCAATCTTTGCTCACTTTCTATTAGTTTCTTCTTCTCTGCATAAATATGCAATATCTCTGACCTAATGTAAACAAATTTTTCTCAGCCCAGCTAGTGCTTTAAGCTAACATTACATCTTTTCCGCTTCTTTGAAGTACCAATGAGTGTTGAATACCAGAATTATAGAGTAGTAGAGGATCTTGCCATCATACCTTAGTATGAATTTTCATGGCACATGATTATTGTGATGTCATGACAGCGACCCAAGAATTAAGGAAGCACATGCAGGGGTATCACCTGCTCTTATTATGCCACAGTGCAAAGTTTAGAGATTCTAATCTCTTAGCAAAGCATTGTAGTTGATCAGGTCTTGGAAGTGATGAAAAGATTGATATGCTGGGGGAATAGGGAGAGGTTAGGATTATCATATCATCATGAGAGAAATGCTTGCAAATATCCTTCTTAGGAGCAAGTTAGTGCAAGTGATGTAAGCCAAGTTTTTTGTCATTGGTAATATAGTTTGAAGCTTGATATTTGGAGGGGGAATAGTAGACATAATTCTTGGGTAATAAAGAATAAAGTCATTTTGAATAAAAAAGATTCAGAGACATTGAAGCATACAACAGACTTACTTATTTTGTGGGGGGAAGTGGGGGACGGGAAAAGATTAACCAATAGACTTATATGCATATATGCATAGCCCATGGACAGATGATAGTGTGGGGAAGTCCTGGGGATGGTGTGGGAGTGGTGTGGAAGGGGATAGTGGGTGGGAGGGCATCTATAGTACTTTCACCAATAAAGATAAATTTAAAAAGGGAAAGAATAAAGTCATTTCATTTGAAGAGGTCTGGGAACTATTCCTAGAGCATGGTAGAAGATAGAGTGAATAAGAAAATTAAATCAAGGTTTAAAGTAATTAAGAAAATGGAATAAGGATGGATAGAATTTGGGGGAAACAAAGTATCGTATGTGATTTTTCTAACAGAAACTGTGCCTGCTGAAGCATCTGTGTGTGTGTGTGTGTGTGTGTGTGTGTGCATGTGTTTTGTTTGTTTTGTTTTCCCTATGTATTAATATCTTAATTTTACTTATCAGATCTCTCCCACTCAGTTCAAATGACTATTTATAGCTAGATAGTAGCATATTTGTATAAGAATTTTCTTTTATTATTAAGACTTTGAAAATATATGAAATAAATTTTAAAAAAATATATTTTTATTGATTTCAGACAGGAAGGGAGAGGGAGAGAAAGGTAGAAATATCAATGATGAGCGAGAATTACTATTGGCTGCCTCCTTCATGCCCCACATTGGGATGCAGCCAGGTATGTGCCTGACCAGGAATTGAACCGTGATCTCCTGGTTCGTAGGTCGACACTCAACCACTGAGCCACACCGGTCGGGCTGAAATAATTTTTTAAAGAATGCTTGACTTTAAACCAGTGGTTTTCAACCTTTCTAATGCTGCGACCCTTTAATACAGTTCCTCATGTTGTAACCCCCAACCATAAAATGATTTTCGTTGCTACTTCATAACTCTAAGTTTGCTACTGTAAACAATATGTAATTATATATGTGTTTTCCGATGGTTTTAGGCAACCCCTGTGAAAGGGTTGTTTGACCCCTAAAGGGGTCGCGACCCACAGGTTGAGAACCGCTGCTTTAAACCATGTAAAGGGAATTGTGGGTAATTTGTTTTTCACACCACAGTACTAAACTCTATTATGAACTTCTCTTGCCAACCTAGGTTGGAGATTACATTTCTGAAAAGTACTATAATTAGCAAAACCTTTATTTTGTAGGATCAAGCACTTATATACAATAAGGCATGGAGCAACTAATTAAAGTATACTGAGAAGTTTATATAAGTAGTATAGAAATTTAATCAACATT